CTCCGCACTAGGCACAGGAAAGTGGCCGTCTAGGGCAGGAGAGCTGCCAGCCTGGCCACCCAGGAGCAGGTGTGCATGAAAATCAAGGGGGTCCACTGAGACCCCCGACACTGAGCCCTGAGCTTACAATGGCCGTCCTGGGTCAGACCAAAGGTCCATCTAGCCCAGTAGCCTGTCTGCCAACAGCGGCCAACCCTAGGGACCCTGGCGGGGATGGACCGAAGACAGTGACCAAGCCATTTGTCTCGTGCCATCCCTCTCCAGCCTTCCACAAACTTTGGGCAGGGACACCACTCCTACCCCCTGGCTAAGACTACTCCATGGACCCAACCTCCATGACTTGATCTCACTTCCCTTTCAACTCTGTTCTAGTTGTAGCCTTCACAGCCTCCTGCAGCAAGGAGTTCCACAGGTTAACTATTTGCTTTGTCAAGAACAACTTTCTCTTACTAGTTTCAAGCCTGCTACCCATTCCTTTCCTTTGGTGTCCTCTAGTCCTTCTTTATGGGAACTCAGGAAGAACTTTTCTGAATGCACCCTCTCCACCCAACCCCTGCTTTTAGAGACCTCTATCCTGTCCCCCCTCCGTCTCCTCTTTTCTAAGCTGAACAGTCCCAGTCTCTGTAGCCTTTCTTCATCTGGGACCTGTTCCCAACCCCTGATCATGTTAGTTGCCCTCTCTTCTCCCAGCCTTTCTCTTCCCCTCTCCCACCTCCTTTTCCCAGTCTCCCCCAGTTTTTTTTCAATAAAGACAGAGTCAATGTTGGAAGAAACGTTATCTTTATTTTGTACATCAGGAAGGGGGGCTAGGGAGGGGTAAGTGGAAGGAGGTGAGGGAGGAATGGGGTACGAGCCCCCGATGGGGAGGACTGGGCTGGCTCTGCGGGCTTCTGGGGGTGGAAGCTCTCCTGCAGCCCCCCAATTGCCCCCTCTCCCCAGATGGCAGCCTGCGGCAAGTGCAGCCGGGCTGATGGCCGAGTGCTGTGATGTGCCCAGTGTGGGTACTCCGGGCAATCCAAGCCAGGACTGGTTTGCAAGCGGGGCACCCCTGAGAACTGTCTGTCCAGGGTGGGGGTCGGGACCCTTTAAGCGCAGCCCTCAGCTAGCCTGAGACAGCATCTCCATGCTCTAAGTCCTCCTCTGATGCCCTGCCGGCACTGCTTCCGGCCATCCTTAAGCCCGGTTCAGGGTCCAGTTAATGTGGACATGCTAGTTCGAATTAGCAAAACGCTAATTCGAACTAGTTTTTAGCTTAATTAGCTTAGTTTGAATTAGCGCTGTAGTGTAGACGTACCCACAGATTGCTATAGAACCCCTGTTGGTTTCTTCCCAGCTACGTGCTATGGGGCTTTTGCAAAAGGACAGCTGTGCTGAGATCTGAGTCCGTTTTCTGTCCTGAAAAAGCCCAAGTTCTCTGTGGCTTTCCATGAACAATGACAGCCTTCACGTCTGTTCCTAGAGCTGAACAGTTGGTGTTATTTGGACCCGGGGAATCAGAATACCAGCCAAGCTTTTCCAAAGGGACGAGTGGTTTTGGGTGGCTCCTGGTTTTGGGTGCCCGGGAGGAGAAAGAGGGGGGTGGTTTTCAGAGGGTGGGTGATCAGCATGGAGAAATTGGAGAAGGTCCAGAGAAGGGCCACAAAATGATGAAAGGCTGAGAGAACATGAGCTACGAGGGAAGACTGAAAGAACTGGGCTTGTTTAGTTTGGAAAGGAGAAGACTGAGGGGGACATGAGAGCGGTTTTCAGGTATCTAAAAGGGTGTCACAAGGAGGAGGGAGAAAAATTGTTCTCCTTGGGCTCTGAGGACAGGACAAGAAGCAATGGGCTTACACTGCAGCAAGGGAGGTTTAGGTTGGGCATTAGGAAAACCTTCCTGTCAGGGTGGTTAAACACTGGAATAAATTGCCTGGGGAGGTTGTGGAAGCTCCATCGCTGGAGATATTGAAGAGCAGGTTGGACAGACACCTGTCAGGGAGGGTCTAGATGGTGCTGGGTCCTGCCATGAGGGCAGGAGACTGGACTCGATGACTCTCGAGGTCCCTTCAGTTCTAGTGCTCTAGGGTTCTTTGATGCTGAACATCCGTCCCTCTTTTGAGACATCTCAGATTGGGCTCCCGCCAAATGGAAGTCCCCAGAATGGCTTGGGAAACCCTCGCTCAGCCAAGTGCCCCTCTGAGAGAGACCCACCCTGGACAGCCACTTCCCACTGTCCCTCCACAAGCGGTTAAACGATCCCTGGCACGATGGAGTTCAACTCCCCCTACAGTACCTGTGTGTCCCAGCGGAGTGACGGCGCTCAGCCTGCAGGGGCCGCCTGGCTAGATGGTCCTTGGGGATTGCGTGAAGAGTCTCTCCCCACCGTGTCTGGCGCTCGCTCTTCTGGACTATGACCTGGGTCCTCCTCCCAGGCAGCAGGGTCCCTGTCAGACAGCTTTCTATGCCCCTCCCCTGAAATGTGATTGGCTGGCCATCCTGCTTGTATCCTCCTAGCCACCTGATGTGACGGAAGACCAAGCTACAGAACACGCAGCAGTGTCCATGTGCTGGGCCTGAGACCAAGCCCATCAAAGAATTCAACAGGGCATCTTGCCATTGACTTCAGGGACCTTTGGGGCAAGCCCTTAGCTGCATGGCTGATGCACGTTTCACCCTGAGCAGCAAAGGCAGGATGGGGACTAGAGCGTGTACCCTTTGGCCAAGAGGACCAGAGCGTGCTCCTTACACCCTAGCCTGGACGCGGTGTCTCCTGTCTCAGGCGTGTGGCCACCTGCCCGAGACCCAGGCTCTCTGTAAAGTCTGTCCTCTCCTGAGGTGGGGTTTTGACTGGAGCCAGGGAAAACGTGTCCTCTGCCAGCCCAGCAGTAGCGGCTGGAGGGCTGAGTGAGCCGGGGGAGGGAGGGAAGCCAAGGTCAGAGACAGAGGGCGGGCTGACACAGAGGGGTCTGTAACCTGCCGTCCGGGCAGAAGGGTGTCACGTGCCAGGAACCCATTCAGAGGCAGCTCTCCCCTGCCCCCGGCGCAGATCAGGTTAACGATTGCCCAGGTTCGCGTGAGAAGCCATTTGGCTGGCTTTCCCCACTGCTCCCCCTGCAGCCGCACAGGGTGAGCTTGGGAGGCGGGTCCGAGGGGGAGAGCGGAGGAATTCGCTCCTCTGAACGCACCTTTGACACATGGCCGGATGCGGCATCGCGTGAGAAGGCAGCGGGGCCAGATAAGCAAGAGCTGCACTTTGGGAAAGTCCCGGGCAAGGTGCAACCCGCAGGGAGACCCTGGCTCCTCCAGGCCTCTCCCAGGCCGAGTGAAACCCCACTGCGGAGGCAGAAGCAGAGGAACACGTTCCGTACAGCAGGAGAGATTCCCACAGCACCCGGGGGTGGGGGGTGGACGTTGCAGGCTCCCGCTGCATATGGGGTACGGGTTCCATCATGGTCCCTGGCCTGATTCACCCTCTTTGTCTGGTAGGTCTATACTGGTACAGCCGCCAGGGGCATGGCGAGGGGGAAACAGAGGGGGAGACCTCCCTGGCCTGGCAGACATCAGACACTTGGAACCCCCACAGCTAGGTCTCCAGCATCTGCCCTCCACGCCTGGCTGTCTAAAAAACTGGGGGCGTCAAGGGCTGTAGCTTGGGACAGGGAATCAGCTGGGAAGAGGCCAGCGGAGGGGAGAAGGAATCTGGATTTTATGTGATGGAGAACTTACAGGAAACCCAGACGCATGAACTGCAGCCTATGAGTCAACTTTCTCCAGGGAAGCCCCTGACTTTGAGTGTCTCTGTATGTTGGGGGCTCGGCTTGAGACATCTAGGCTACGTCTAGACTGGCATATTTTCCGGAAATGCTTTTAACAGAAAAGTTTTCCGTTAAAAGCATTTTCAGAACAGAGCGTCTAGATTGGCAGGACGCTTTTCTGCAAAACCACTTTTTGCAGAAAAGCGCCCATGCCAATCTAGACGCGCTTTTCCGCAAAAAAGCCCCGATCGTCATTTTCACCTTCGGAGCTTTTTTGCGGAAAACAAATCTGAGCTGTCTACACTGGCCCTTTTGCGCAAAAGCTTTGCACAAAAGGGACTTTTGCCCAAACGGGAGCAGCATAGTATTTCCGCAAGAAGCACTGATTTCAGACAGTAGGAAGTCAGTGCTCTTGCAGAAATTCAAGCGGCCAGTGTAGACAGCTGGCCAGTTTTTCCGGAAAAGCAGCTGATTTTCTGGAAAAACTGGCCAATCTAGACACAGCCCTAGCGAGGGATGTTCTTGAGATCTTTAGGATGTAGGTCAGTGGTCCCCAAACTGGGGCCCGCCTCCCTTGGAGGGGGAGGAACATTTGGGGAGCACGGCAGCACCTGGGCCAGACCCCACAGGGGGCAGGAAGGGAGAGCCACCCATTCCAACTTTGCTGCAGCTTTGCCCCTGGCTCGAGCTCTGCCTACTCCTAGCCATGGGTCCTGGCTCCCAGCCATGGCTCACGGTCCCTGGCTCCCCGTTCCTGCCTGCATCTCGGCTCCCAGTTCCCAGATATGCCCCCCCTCCCAGCCCCCGCTCCTGACTGCAGATCCAGCCTTAACCCCAGCTGCCCACCATGACTCTGGCCCCTCATCATCCCACCCCCAGCTCTGGGGGTCCAAGGAAGGGGAGTGTGTGAGCCAAACGTTTGGGGACCCCGGTGTGAGCTGTGTGGGGCAGGGACTGTCTGGCTGTGTCTAGACTGCATCCCTTTTCCGGAAAAGGGATGCAAATTAGACCTATCGCAATTGCAAATGAAGTGGGGATTTAAATCTCCCCCGCTTCTTTAGCTGCCGCTTTTTTCTGGCTCGGAGCTTTGCCGGAGAAAAGCGCCAGTCTAGACGCGGATCTTTTGGAAAATAAAGCCTTTTCCGAAAGATCTCTTATTTTAATAAGGCTCCAATGACTCTAACTCAGC